TGAGAGAGAGTGGAGAATTTTTCTTGACATAAAAAAAAAGAGTTTCCGAAAAGTGGAAACCATTTCAAAATTAAACGGTGAAGAGCGCGTTCTACTTTTCGAAAATACATTTGTTTCCTTAAAAAAATTTCATCTTTTGGGAACGCGTTTTGTATTTTTCTAGTTGAGAACGATGAAGAATGCATTCAAGAGCCTTTGGAACTCCAGCTCAAGAAATCCAATCATTAAGTCTCTGTCGGATTCCGCAAGGAAACTTAGAAGATTCTACAGGATCAGGTCGAATTTAAATCGTTTGCGTTTTATGGTTGTTCTCTTTCTTATGCATGCTCATTTTTAATATATAATAAATAATCAGACATATGACGCCGATGATAAAAATCTACTCTCTATCGTTACTATTATTCCTTTAGTAAGAACCAAACATAAGAGAAACCAGATATCGTCATTAAAATACAGTGCAATGATACTACGTATATGTGAGAAAAAAAAGTGTTGCATATATAAAATCCAAATAAAAACAAGTGAGAAGAAAGCGAATAAAACAAGATAGAAAGCAAACATTGAAAACTGACACACGTCAAACAAAACATGATACTAAAAGACAGAGCAGTCAAGGAAGAAATAATAAAATAAAAACATCACGACTAAATTGGTTTATCGATAAAGTAAAACAAAACTTTTTTTCTCACGTCGAGCATTACAATGACCAGAAATGAGTGGGTGTGGGTGAAACGAAAATCCACACCCAAACTCACACCCCACACCATCAATAGCTGACAAACAACCTGGAACACTTATTATATATGCTGTGTCTTCAGCACTCTTAATCGTTGAGTCTTGAAAGACATAGAGTAAATGTGTCGATGGTCACGGCAACATTTAATATCTAATACGATTATGCTCAATATCTCTAGAGGGCGAAAAAGTTGGATATTAATGGAAGTCATCATAAAATCGTCTTAAAACGGGTATGACTTTCCTACGTACACATTTTTTTACGAACGCAGTGAGTTAGGCGTGATAAGCTTTGTGCTAGCATAATGACTGTACAAATATTGACTCAGTATCAAGTATATGCTTTTCGATTTGTATCGGTGTGAGTGTGAATGTTTGGTTAAACGAGGATGTGGGTGTGCTCTCTAATAAAAAAGAAGTTTTGCAGAACCCCCCGAAAAGGTTTCGTAGATTTCTAAAAGCATCCAAATGTGTCCAAAGTCTAAAAAAGATGGTAAAAAATTCGACAGAACCTTTTGAAGGTTCTGCGGAGTACCCACTAGCAGAACCATCTCTTACGAAACCTTCTTTTAGGTTCTGTATAGCAAAAAAAGGTTTCGTGACCAAATACGAAACCTCGAGGGTTCAGTACAAAACCATTAACCTTTGATACGAAACCCTAATTGTGCCAATAGGCATCTTATCTTATGTGATATCTTTTCTTTCTCAGTGTGTTACTATACAATCAATGATATGTAGTGTTCATAATCGCGTTACGGCTACGATCACCTATGCATGATTGAACCTTCTTCTCATTCTACATTATCATTCACTCGTATATTATATATGCGTTCTCTCCTTGGCCTCACTACCTCTTTATTCTTACGTTGTTCTCTCCTTGGCCTCATCTTCTATCTTTTCATCATCGCTTGTTCTGCTCATGTACATAAACGTGTACTTTATCTGTAAACAAGGCGATTGTATGACATGAAGGAATAAACTAAAGTGTAATATCATCAACACGAACAATTCTTCTATCATTAATCGTCAGATGACGATAATATGATATGAAGAAATGGAAGAAAGTACATCTTCACCTACAATATCTTCCCGTCTATCATCATTTTTCGTCATACTAATGGTTTTGTACGGAACCCTCAAGGTTTCGTATTTGGTCACGAAACCTTTTTTTGCTGTACAGAACCTTAAAAAAGGTTTCGTAAGAGATGATTCTGCTAGTGGGTACTCCGCAAAACCTCCAAAAGGTTCTGTCGAATTTTTTACCCTTTTTTTTTAGACTTTGGACACATTTGGATGCTTTTAGAAATCTACAGAACCTTTTCGGGGGGTTCTGCAAAACTCCTTTTTTTTAGAGAGTGGGGTGTGGGTGTGGATGCGGATGTGAGTGTGGATGTGGATGTGGGTGTGGGTGTGGATGTGGATGTAGATGTGGGTTAAGAGACTAACTGCCTGCATACCCACACCCACAGCCTACACCCCCACACCCACCCCACACCCACACCCACACCCAACCCCCACACTCACCCCTTCCCACTTTGATCAAGAGATCGTCTCGATCTCGAAAAGGAGAAAAATATTAGGAAGTGACTATGTACACATATGTGTACATAGCTCGTCGGGCTATGCACATTTGTGTGTACATAGCTCGTCGGCTATGTACACACAAGCGTATATAGCTGACTGACTATATACACATATGTGTATATAGCCCTTTGGCTATGTACACACAGGTAGATATAACCAATATATTAGTAAATATGAAGTCATATTATAATATTATATGTATTTGTTGATTAATATAAATTAATTATCTAAGTTTTTTCATAGTTTTATTAATTCTTTATTACATACGAATAAAGTATAAATCATATAGAAAAAAAATTAAGTCAAATAAAGATCAATAATTTAGCAGCATTTCTGATGCTTTCTTTGATTTTAAACGAAACAGTTGAATTTCATTATTTTAAATGGAATACATGATAACCATCTAGTGTTAGCGCTTATCTTCCCTCTTCATTATATTATATTTTTTTGTCGATCACTTATATAAAGAAAAATTTTATATCTTCTTTTCTTAGTTGATTGGTTTAAAAATAGGAAACTGAAAAATAGAAAAAGTCAAATAACTTGACATCTGAGAACATAACCTTTATTAAGATAGATTGATTAATCTTTACTTTAATCTTTTTCTCTATCGAGCTAATTAATAGTTTTTCAAATGAAATGAAATGAATTGATAATTGTTATAATAAAATGGACCGATTTCATATAACCTCATTTATAGTACTAAATAAATCCTCTTATATTATTAAAAAGTCTATCATAATCATTCTCAATGTCTGTTACAGAAAGGTATATGTTGCTATTATAGTTAAATCTAAGTATATTGTTTCGTGCTTATCGTAATTCTTCAACCAGAAAAATGAAGCAAGATAATTATTCTCTCTTTAAAAAGCAGTTTGATAGTTGCGTACATTTTGAGAAAGAATTTAAAAATTGATGCATTAATTGTTATCAACCAATGAATATAAAACGTTCTTCAATGAAATATAATGAAAAAATAACGAGAGAATTACTTAACTATGTTCAATACCAAAATGTAATGTATGCATGTCATCATAGATGTCCTGTTCGAAGACATATAAAAGATGAATCAAGACCAAACCAAGAATCGGCTCGATTATATTGTGAATTTATTCTCTTTCTCGTAGAGAAGAGCCTTGTGAGAATAAATTGTTTGTTTGCTTGCTTGTATGTCCGCACTTCAGTGATTGGTCCAAAAGAAGGTGAAGACAAAAAGGATTATTTTCCATAAAGCTTGACCAAATGGTAATCGAGGATGAGGAGTTCGGATCTGAGGTTAGTTTTAACTAATTATTAACTAATTATTGATTATTAATTAATTAATAATTAATATTTTTAATAAAACTTGATCGAAGGGTAATCGAGGATGAGGAGTTCGAATCTAAGACTAGTTTTAACTGATTATTAATTAATTATTAACTATTCATTAATTATTAATGTTTTCTATAAAACTTGGCCAAAGTTTATCGAAGATGGGGAATCCAAATCTGAACTCAGTTTTAGCTAACTTATTACTAATTAATTATTAGCTAAATATTAATTAATTATAAATTATTATTATTTTTCGTAAAACTTCACTGCGGGTTATTCAAGGTAAAGAATTCAAATCTGATATCAGTTTTAATTAATTAATTAATAATTAGTTATTAACTAATTATTAATCATTATTATTTTAAATAAAAATTCACCATAGGTAATCAACGATGAAGAGTCTAAATCTGTGATCCGTTTCCATTAATTAGCTATTAATTAATTAATTAGTAGTTAATTGTTTATTCTATAAAGCTTCATCAAAAGTAATCAAGAACGGGTGATTTGATTACGGGCTCGATTGGAATGATTCAATGATTTAGAGAGCAGGGATATGAGTGAGCCAGAGATGAATAACATATGTATATTAAATGAATAATTTGCTGATAATAAGAAAATAGTTCTTCTACGAGAAAGAGCTAAGCGAGTCCATAGACGAGCGTTACTTGTCTTAAAACGCTATACGGAATTAAATAAAATTGTTTTTATGAAAAATCAAGATTTAACTTATAACGATCCAAAAATGAGGAAGTTTATAAGAATTATTCAGCTTAAACAGATAAAGCATTAGAGATAGAGATGTTCCATCTTTAATGTTTTATGATCAGATATCTTTTACGTGATCATTATGTTAAATGTATTGAAAATAATGAAATTTAATTGTTTCGTTTAAAACCAAAGAGAGAAAGCACTAGATATGCTGTTGAGTTGTTGATCTTTATTTGACTTATACTTTATTTGTATGTAATAAAGAATTAATAAAATTATGAAAAAGCTTAAATATTTAATATATATTAATCAACAAAAACATATAATATTATAATAAGACTTCATATTTACTAATATATTGGTTATATCTACCTGTGTGTACATAGCCAAAGGGCTATATACACATATGTGTATATAGTCAGTCAGCTATATACACTCGTGTGTACATAGTCACTTCCAAAATATTAACATCATGACAATTTTAACAAAAAATCTAAGTTAGAAAGAAAAAGAAACAAAATAATGTCTTCTTTTGTATTTTTTTTGACTTTACGTTCCTTCGTGTTCGTTGATACATAAAAATCATAACTTGAATTACTACGACGAGTATAAGCTATATGTCAACGGAAAAAAAAGCAGTAATTTGAGTTGCAATACTCTTATTACTCACAATCTTCACGAATAAATATAGGTTTCATATCAGATGTGATCACTTGTTTTGTATAATTTGGATTATGATCACTATCTGGATCTTCAATTTTTACGATAAACGTTGATGGCTCCTTTTGATCAATAATTCGATAAGGATGTTCATATTTTTCTTGCAATTTTGATGCTTTATTAATTACTCATATCCAAATGTAATCGTCGATATGATATATTGAATCTGGTCTGTTTCGATCATATCTAATTTTTGCTAATTTACTTTGATATCGAATATTCAATTATATCATTATTAATAATTTTTCTAGCTCGTTTTACTTTTTCATAATATTGATTTGGTTTTGAAAGGGATACTTTCATTTGTTGCGGATTCATAAGTAGTAAGTTTTCTCTACCAAACATAATCTGAAATGGACTAAATGTTGTTGTACCATGTGGTGTTATACGCATAAAGAATTGGTTGTAGTAATTCGTCCCAGTCTTGTTTCTGTTCATTCATTAATTTCGATAATGCTGGAGCAAACGTTGTGTTAAATCTTTCTGTCTAAGCATTCGATATTGGATGATATGGTGTCGCAAGGATGTGTGTTGTATGATATGAATTGATTATTGATTTTGTTAATTCTGCAATAAAGTGAGGTCCTTGATCTGTAATTAATTTTGTTGATGCTCCATAGTGATAACATACATCTAAGAAAACTTCTGCTGCTTCTTGTGCTGAATTAGCCGTGACTGCTTTCGCGAATCCAAATTTTGAAAGATAATCGGTCATTGTAATGACATATTTGTTCCCATTTGTTGTGGATTGCTCCGTGGGACCCCAGTAATCCATTCCAACTAAACCCATCACTTCATTTGGTGTAGGAATAATATTCATTTTCTCAGGTAATTTGGTTCTTCTATAATTATATTTTGAACATATGGTACAAGACTTAATGTCATTGATTATTGTTTTATACATGTTCGGCCAATAATACTTGTTGACTAATTTTGTTGTTGTTTTATTAATTCCCATATGTGCTGCCGTATAATGGTCGTAATGAAGAAAAAGCACTTGATTTATCATTGTTTTTGGAATCCATATAAGCTTAATTTTTCTTTTCGCACGTGGAACTAATTTATATAAAATACCATTAATAATTTCAAAATCTTGATTACTAGATAGATTTTTCTTTTTCTCTTGAATTTCCATATCTTTTAATTGTTCTTCTTTGATCTTCCTCATACTGAAACCCATAGATGATAAATGAACTTCTGCTGAAACATTTTCATTCGATGATGACAGTACCATTGATTTATCATTCGTATTCAATGATGATGCCGTTGAGGCCATGTTGGTATATGATAGTGAAGAAAAATTTTTCCCTTGTAGTTGTGTGGCCCTTAGTCGAATATTATAAACACTTGTTAATTTTACCTCATTATCTTGTTGATTATTGTGAGCTCGAGCTGCTGAACGTGTAATCACATTAATCGATGCTGTTGATTGAATACCCGAGTCATTATCATATAATTCATTTGTGTTCGGGAATAAATAACCTTCATGTTGTTTTCTTATACTAATGTCATTAAAAAAACTTTGATTACTTTGTATTGGATAACGGAAAAGTAAATCTGCATCACAATGGCATTTTCCCTTTTATATTTAATTTCGGTAATGTTGTATTCGGATAATATTTCAATTGCCCATCGATCGAGACGTCCATTACGCGATCTCTTTTTATGAAATTGACATAGTGGACAATGATCATTTTCAATTCTGAAATCTGTATCAAGTAAATATGGACGTAATTTTGTTATAGCTCAGACAATGGCGAATGCTTCTAATTCAGGGAGTGAGTGTGGATGTTGTTCTTCATTGTGTCCACACACCCTCACACCCATCACCCCCACCCACCCGCCCACATCCACACCCACACACACCCTTTCCGGCAATAAAAACAATGATAATGGTGAATGGAAATGCATTCAAGGTTGTAGGAGTTGCCGTATCCCGTGAGAAAATATTCAATTATGCTTGTTCAATTGGTACCGGTCATTTGAATGAACTTTCATCTGTATTACACATGACCTGAATGAAATGCATCTAATACATTGATTAGCTATTATAACAGTGTGCATAAGGCGGCACCATTACATAACCAATCAGTGCATCAGAATCATTTAGGAGTGCTTCAGTTGATTCATGTTACCTTTTGTTATCATTAATTAAATACTTTGAAGATAAAGACAACGAAGACTAATCATTAAAATTTTTTATTAGGTTTATATCATTGATTTACAATTCAAGTTCTGAAATTGATTCAAATTTTTCTCGAACAATTCTTAATCTATCTTTAAAATTATCTAGATCCGTATAACATCCTTTAAACCATCGTTCACCACTTGATGGATCAAATTCACGTCTTCCATGAAGAATTCGACGATTATGAAATATTACACATTGATCTTTTTCTAGAATTAATTCTAAATGATTATTTTGATCATCTATTAAATCACGAAAATACTGAAAAGCTCGAATAAATTTTCGAAAATCAGATTTTGATGTATCACTTTCAAATGGTGCTTGAAATGGTGGTGAATAATTAATATGATCAATATGATTATCAAATGAAAATCTATTTAAAACAATAGTTGAACGTGTAAAATGATAATGTCGATCAGCATTTCGATAATGAAATGTTACAGGATATGAACAAAGTATTTGAAATGCTTCAGGATCATTTTGACGAAGTATTTCAGCTGCTCGAAATGTATCAGCATAATATGATGCTCCTCCATGAACATTATTTTCAAGTGAATGTAAAAATTGTAAACCTGGTGGTGCTTCAAAATATAATAAATCCATATGAAGTCCAAGTTCTTGAGATGTATAAGCAACATTAATAGCTTGTTGAACATTTCGAACATCCCATGTTTTACCATAGAATGTATGACGAATTTCACCTATTCTTTCAACAAGATGTTCAACAGTAAATTCTCCTTGAACATTATCAATAAAAACAAGACCATAATCATTAAGATATTTTAATACTGTATATAATCCTTGATCAGAATAAAGATAATCATTACATTTAACATGTAAATTTACTTTTTGAATATCATTTCGATTCCAATAAATAAATGGACGATCTTGATATCTTGAACGTGCAATGTTTTCTGATGTTGAATATGTTTGAAGCCATGTTCTTGAATATAAACTACGATGTATATTAGAATTGTTTTTTTCATTTAATAATGGTTGATTCCAATGTATTTCAAGAATATTATTATTTAATATTTTAAGTCCTGTTTGTTGTGGTGAAATAGTCAATGGAATATCTGTAGTTTTATGTCGTTTTTGTTTTGTTGATAAATCAATACATTGATGACATTGACATGAATCTCGTAAAAATATCCAATCATATTTACATTCTTTACCATTAATAATTAATGTTGCATGTGTATCATTAATTGATTTTAATTTAAATTGTATTTGATTATTTTTATGTATGTTTTTCAAAGAATTTTTCATTTGAATTTGTCTGTATGATGAAAAAAATTGAATAGAATATTGTTTTTGTTGTATTGAAAAATTAGTTAATAATCGAAGTATTTGAGATATTAACATGTTCCTTTTTTAAATATTGAATCTGAATATCTAAGAGAGAAGAAAAATATCAATATATTCTAATTTATAATATTCAATAGAACAGATATTTAAAGTATGATTGATGAGAATGAAACATGTGCGTACAATTTTAAGCATCTAGATAAGATATGTGAGGTTGAAGTACATTAGGATAGTAAGAATAACATCGAATTAAGTCAAACAAGATGAATTACAATAAGAATAATTCGAAAGAATCATATAGATTGTCATAGATATATACATATGTATGAAGAATTTTCAAAACTGAATCTAGAAAATTAATTTCTATTCTGAATGTAGAAAGAAGTAGTTCTAAAACGAGAACAAAATAAAACGTTTAAATATTTATCGATTGTTGATCTTTGACCTTTCCTACAGAAAAAGAAATAGATCACTTTAAAAATTTTCTTCAAAAACCTCTATATTTAAAATCAGTTCATCACGTTCTGTCTAACCATATATTAAAAAAATTTCTGCTTTAATGTTACATTTGCCACACATTACTAACATACACGCAACAATAAAATTCATATGGATAGCTGATATCATAACAAAGAAAAGAAAAAAAGATCACAATTCTAACTATTGAATCATCGATACATGTTATTTTAACAGAGACAAAAAAAAAGTAGATTACTAATAAAAGAATTTAGAAGTAATTATGAAAATAATCATTTACTTGTTTAATTAAAATACAAAAATTTTTTACATTTTTCCTACTATTCTAAAATTATTTTCTTGTCTATAATTATCAACACTAAATATAAATGAATATGTGTCAAATCTAAATTATTTTTTTTTAAATGTTTATCACAGGCAAAATCTTCTTCTTATTGGAAATCAATAAAAAGAATATTAAAAAAAAAAACAAACAAACAAAAGTTCACAAATATCACACACAAAACACACACTGGGTATTGTCATTTAATATAGTCACCATTATTGAGAGCACATATATTAAAAAAAACAAAACAAAGATGACTAGTGGAATGAGAAGGCATTAAAAAAACGAAAACTAATCATGAAATAAATTCAAAAAAAGAGGAAAAAAAAATGAATAATATTTTCATGTTTTAATTTTGATTTTTTTCTATGGGCATTTCAACACTACTATCATCTTGATCTTGTATTATTGATCTTAATTCAACAATTGATGCTCGACTAGGAACACCATTTGGTAAAAGATGTTCAAGTTCATAAAAAGCTTCAAGTGTTTTACGTTGATTTTGTAAATTTTGCATTTGTAATGTATCCACATTATCATTATTATTTAATACGAAACTAGTTCTTTTCTGTACAGGTTTGCATAAAGATGAAGATACTTCATGTGAAAGACGACCATTACGTTGTAGTGGATTATTATATGGTATAACACTTGGTTGTCGGGATCGTATTGGTGGTGTATATTTTGTATTCATTGAATGATTTGATTTACTAATAGATGTACGAAAGTCGCTATCAGATGATAATGGTAAACATTTACAATTATTATAATGAAGAATTTCAAAAAATGCATTGCGAAATTCTCTAAATAGAATTATAAAAAAAAAACATTAATCGAACAAATTAATAATCAATATTGTATTTCTTTCATGTAAAACTTTCTAATTCAAACAATCAATTATTGTTATTAGCGGACTAATCTTATTTGAAATTGGACTGACCTGCCCGGTCTGGCTAATAAAAAAACTCGATCAGTTCCAAATATCACTCTGAGAATGTTGATGCATCGGAGTCGCCTGTAATAATCACAGAGTCCAAATTGATTCCAATTATGAGATAAAAGTATTTTGGCACTTGACTACAAGATTCTTTTAAATATTCAACCTAATAACTTTTTGAAAAATATTTCATAGAATGCTATAGAAACTGAGCAGTTACCTGGTAAATGCCAGAGTTTTTATTTCTCCGATTTTTAACTAATTGAAAATGTTTTTATAGATAATTCAAGATTAAGAGTTCAGGAATCAATAGATGGATAAATCACTCTTTTTTTTGTACTAAGTATAGAAATATCTTGTATTTATTTTTGAAAAGCCTAACAGGTAAATTTAAGAACAAAAAGTAAAACAAATGTTTTTTGAACCGAACCGGTTATAAATCTATAGGAAGAAACCAACCAAGATCACGTGGCATTATGCGTATAGGGTGCCTTAAACCCAGCACATTCACTAAGGTGTTATTTTTATATAGAAGGCATGTTCTTCGAGGAATAAAGCTGAGAAACCGATCACTACACAAAAAAAAGCATTTAAAGACATTGAGAGAGTGAACATTGAACAGTTTGCACATGCCGAATAATATAGCATATTGTTTTCTTTGATGGTTACTCTTTCAAAACCGCCAACCTCTCCATTTCTGTTCTAAAGTACTAGCAAACATATAAATCAGTTGCTTGAGACATTTTTTTATTGAGTTTATACAATTCATTGTAATAACAATGACGTATAAAAAAATAAAAATTCTAAAAATAGATCGAATGATATTTTAAGTAATATGTCTCCGATAAATGAGAAATCTAAGTACTTATACTTCATTGTTGTTTTTTTTTTGATGATTTATAGCTGATAAGAATCGAACATAGAACTAATACACAACGAAAATTCTATTTCTATAGCTGTAATTAATTGCTCCATTTTTATCTATTTCAACTCAACTAAAATCATCCGCTATTTTATTGCACTTCAACTTCGTATGAACAATCTCGGTGAACGATAGAATACTCCGATGATTTATCATATACAGTTGCTAAAAGAAAAAAAAAAGTGGTATTGTAATTTTTTTTTTTGCTTAACTTTTGTTTGCTTCTTGCAGGGTGTTGTTATTTTTACTCAGTCAGAATTTAAAATTTTTCGATGTTATTACGGCCAATAAAAACATCTATCTAAACTTATGAGAGAATCTTCTCAAATATCACCGTCGAATTTCAATAATTTTTTGTCTATAGATACATAAGTAGTACTTTTTTTTTGAACACACTAAAAGGATTTGAGTTCCTTCTATGACTTAGTAGAAGTATCGCATATTTAATATATATTGAACAGAAACCTCTGTAGAATCCCAGATTTTCCAAAAACTCGTATTTTTTAATTCTGTCTGGCTACTATTTTTGAATTGAAAGTCTCACATATACAGTTTATCCACTTCATATCTATGGGCTATACATTTTTCGAATCTGTTTGGATAACTATCAATAGGCATCGAAATCTTTTTAGCATTTTTCCTAGAATACTATGTAGTATCTATAAGAAAAAAAAACAGAATCATTGAAACCGGAAATGAGTATCCCATGAGGTTTCATTGATAATTATTAACACACATAAACTACTTCCTTTTGTATATCTCGAATTAACAAAGCTATTTAAAAACTATCTATTTCATGATTATATAATTTAATAGATAAAATAAATAAAAATTTCAAAACAAAAAAAACATACTTATTTGAAAATGCATAAATCACTGGATTACAAAATGAATTAGCATAACCTAAACATACCGAAAATATTTTTAATAGAATAATAAATATACAAAAAAAAACAAAACAAAACGAGTCATTACCAATCCAAGTTATATAACGTTCAATATTTGGAGTAACACATTTATAATTACAATAAGCTAATAAAAGATACATAACAAAAAATGGTAACCAACAAGCAACGAATACACCAACGACAATACCTAAATACAAACCAAACCAAAAAAAAAAAAATCTTGTTTTTTGTTTTTTTGTTTTTATTTTACCTAATGTTCGTATAGCTTTCATATTTTTTTTCCATTTCGAACTTTCTATTTCAAATTGATTGTTCCTATGTAAACGTTTAATAATATTTTCAAGTTTTTGTAATTCTTGCGAATGTTTACGAGCTGTTATAAATATTCGTCCATAAAGAAAAAGTATTATTATAAGTGGAATATAAAATGATGTTGATGATGATATTATCGAATATATTAGATTAGGTCTCATACCACATTCATTGGGATCAGATGAAACTGAACCAGTACGAGATCGACTATAAACACCAAGTAAAACGGGTCCATAAGAAAGTAAAACACTTATTAACCATATACAACCAATAATAATTAATATTGTATGTTTGGTCATTTTTTGTTTATATTTAAGTGGATTTTCAATAGCAACATATCGATCAAAACTAACAGCGACTAAAAATAATTTATATCAAAACATAATAAAAATAAAAAAAAGGTCAATACAGTTGATTTCTTCTTATTTATCTATATAAATTGAATAAGAAAAACAAACTATAATCTTACCAAGATGTAAAATGGATGCTGTACAAAAAGTTATATCATTAGCTACCCATATATTACAAAATATTCGTCCAAATATCCATTTTTGTTTTATTTCAAAAATAAATCCTGGTATCATAACTGTTGTTGTTACAAGTAGATCAGCAATAGCAAGTGACATAAGTATAAAATTAGTTGGATGACGTAATCGTTGTACACGAAATATAGCTGTAACAACAATAACATTTCCAATAATACTCAATATTATGATAATTGAATAAGCCTGAAAAACAAAAACACAAAAAAAAAAAGAAGAAACTAAAATCTTTTATTAATTAAATAAATTATATTTAATTTACAATAATGCCAATAACAAGTTCACCAATTCGAGAAACTTGTATATTATTATTTTGAATTGTTGATAAAATATTAGTTATTGTTAAATTATTTTGGCTTGTTTGAGTAACATTCATCATGAATGAATGATGAGTTTTTTTTTTTTTTATTTTTATTTTAGACTACAATAGATCAATAATATCAATAAATAATTGAAATAGATTTATCGCACTTTCATTATTAACAAATCATAGAAAATATGTTGAAAAATTCGTATAGAAGTATATATTAATATATCTAAGAGAATTAGACGATAATATAAGTAACTAAAAGAGAATCTTGACTAACAAAAGAAAAGAAAAAAAACAAAAACAAAAAAATAAATTCTACGCGTG